ACGGGGCGGCCCAGAGTCTCCCTGCTCTCTCCCACCGCCCTCCACTTTGGTCCTGCAGCGCAGACGGTCACTCTATAGACAGGGCAGTGGCAGCCGGCATCAAACGGCCTCAGGTCCCGCCTGAATCAAAAGCCAAAAACTGGGGACCCCGAATCAGAAGCGCTTGACGCAGCAAAGCCTTCGCATTCATCGAGCTCGCTGGCATCGTGGCACCTGCCCCCCAAGTGCGGGGTGGGGCGGGGCGGGAGGGGCGGCGGGAGCCGAGCTGTCTTACACATCAGCTCTCTCTCGATGGCTGCATCAACCGCTTAACAAAACGACTAATGCATTTTGGCTCCTAAGCCCCTGGAGGATGCTGCCAGTGGGTTCACAACACTTTAATACCGCACCAGGCACCCCGAAGCGGGAAGCTGGCCCGGGCCCCCGGGTTCCACCTTCCGCCCCGGCTCATGCTGCTTTTTCTTTCCGAAAGTGTCTTTGGGGTTAGAGGAGCGAGCTGGGAAGCCAGGAGAAGCTGTCTCATTCCTCCCACCATGTCCATCTGAAGGAAAGTGCATTCAGAGCTTTTTTAGGAAAGCTGGAGCCGGAAAGGCTGTCCGAGAGGCTGTTGAGAAACATATATGCAGAAGTATGCACGCGCCCTCCAAAATATCTCGACAGAAGCCTTCTCCCATCTGGGCCGGCCCCGGCGCCCGTGGGTGGGAGCCTGAACTTTTGGACGGCAGATGGGTGTGCACCCTGCGGGGGTGGGGAGCCAGGTGTGGCCCCCCGCTCTCCTCCGTCCCCCCACGGCCAGGGTCGGCCGCTTGGGGTCCCCTGGCTTCGGCAAGGGGGGTGGGGGGCTGGAAGAGCCGCCACGGACAGCGACACTCGCCGAGACTACACTTTGCCCCTCGCCTCAGCCTCCAGCGTACCGGAGGGAAGCTCGCTTTCCCGCAAGGACAGGGATTCAGGGAGGGCGGTGGGGGTTCAGGGTGGGGGGCTGCACTGCTGAGCCGCCTGGCCCGCCCCCCCTTCTGGCACACTTACTGGGTCCCAGCATCAGGCCGGGCGCTCTCATTAACCCTCTGCGGAGCCTTAGCGAGGCGGGGTGCAGTGCAGCGAGGCGGGGTGCAGTGCGGGCAGTGGCTCTGAGGAGGGGCGCTCCTGGCTGCGAGGTGTGGCACACAGGGGCAAAGCCCTCCACAGTTAACAGCCCTCTGGGGGTGCCCGCAGCCTTAGCCTCCCACCTTAACGGGGTGAACACCCTCCGGCTGACCTTGCAGGCTCCCCCTCTCCTGGTCCCCAGCACCCACAGCACCAGCTTGACAGGCACAGGGGAGAAGGAGAAGGGGGAGCGCCAGGCGGGCGATGTGACGCGGCTCCTGCAAAATCTGGGCTGCGGGAATGCTCACCCACTAGATGGCGGCAGAAGCAGCCGCCTGGGAGGAAACAAAGCTAAGTCCTTAACCTCCCTCACTGCTTCTATCAATATTTATTTCAGATGGTTCAAAGATCCAAATAAAAGAAATTAAGATAACAAGAGTACTTAAGAAGCCCTAAAATTGGATACAAGAAGGGGCTCAAAAACATGACCTAGAATCCAGAAGCAAACGTTTGGAAAGGTTCCTGCTGTCTTCAAGAAGTAGCTGAGTGCCTGCTGCATACCGGATGAGAGACTTGATCTGAATGGTGTCTACCAGGACAAAGGTTAACATCCCTAATATATAAAGAGCACCTGCAAATCAATAAGAAAATGATCTCGCAGATGGAAAAACGGGACAAGGGAACATGAATCAGAAAGTCACAAAAAATACACACGCCTGGCTCCTAACATAGGAAAAGCTATTTAATGTCACCAGGAAATAAATGAATGCAAAATAAGCTGGTAGGAGAAAATATTCTCCTTTCTGGCCACGATCCTGCGTTTACGGCCACCATGTATTTTCCTTCCCACGCTTTCCTCTTTCACCTCGGAACTACAGCTACACGGCAAGCTGTGCTCCAGAGCACCCCAAAGCTCCAGAGCACCCCCAAAGCCAGCAATGGAGAGGTGGGCTCAACAAAATACAACACAGACACACAAGACTACTGGCCACAAGGAGCCGGCGCGCCTCGGGCGTGGTGAGCACGTAGCGAAACACGGATGCTGGTGGTGGGAGAGGGCTAGGTTTCAAAACAGTGCAAGGAGGATGAGAGGCCTTCCTGGCAGTGAGCAGGGGGAAGGTCTGAACGCCAACCCCACACTGTTCGCACTGCGTTTCCGAGTGTGGCTTCCCCTCCTTTCTACTCTGCTGTGTTCTGAAAGTGATGGAGCCGCATTTAACTTTTATCACTGGGGAGAAAATGTAAAACCACTCAACACCATAAAGCATGTTCCTACTTCACAGACCTGGTCACCCTGTCAACTCAACTGCTCACCGGACGTCCTTGACAACAGCAGAACCCTGTGAAACCAACAGCTGGAGCTTCCAGTTCGTGTGACTTACACCCCGGTGTCAGCTTTGCAAGGACGGCCATGATGGGACCCCGCTAAGGGCTTTGAGGCTCAGTGCATCGGATCCTCACGTCCACCAGCCCACAGCCTCTATTTTTATCCCTCTTTTAACCACACAGAAATCAGAGCTCAGACAGGCTCGGACCCAGGCCAAGGTCACACAGCGCAGAAACAGCAATCGTGGGGTCCCCCCAGCTGTGTCTAATGTTGCTGCGTCTGAGCCCCTACATGGATCCGTGTTAACCCCTCCCAAAAGAAGAAAGAGGCAGAGACAGCAGTTCCTGCGTGGACTCTTTGAAAACCAGAACAAGGCAGAAGACCCTCTGGGACACTCACCTCCTTCTTCTCTCTCCAGCAGTGTTCGCCTGCCTCTGCTCTTATTTACGCTTTCTTTGGTTTTACCGTTCTCTCTTCTCTCTCTCTGCTTTTAGCTAATCACTCAGTTAACAAGTTGGCTTTCTGAAGGTTGGGTCGGTACCTAGTGACTCCGAGCGCGATAAAGAAATCAGCCGTCACCGATACACAAGTCAGAAAGGTTTAAATCAAATCATCCTCCACAACAATGACATTAATTATGCTTTTAACACGTTTTACTGCTTTTTTTCTCACTTCACGCCACATCTGTGTGAACAATATCCAAAAGATTTACGGTTTTCTTTCGTAATTACAGACATACAGGCTGCACACTTATCAAAATACTTGCTGAGCAATCACACTCTATCGCATTCTCTGCCAAAGATTTGTGTTGGCAGTAGTCATTCAAAACAAAAATGTTGAATCAGGACTTGTGTGGCTTTGGGTATGTGTGTGTGTGTGTGAGAGAGAGAGCGAGAGCATTTCGACAAATAATTTGCCTGTCAAGAAATGCAAAAGCAGGAGTGTGTGTACCCTGGCAAAAATGTCCAGGAGTGTTATTTTTACAGAGGGGCTGGGGGAGGCGGGAGGACAGTCAGCAGAGAAGCTCGGAGCCCCAAAAACACATCTGACATTTGGTTCTTGTGTCTGAGGATAAAATTTAATGAGAACAAAAATATGTCTTCCTAATTCCCCTAAGAAATCATTAAAACATTTTGTTATTCTTAAATGTCTCGAAAATGAATTAGAGGCCCTAGAGGGGCCATTCGTACGGCGCCTCCATCTTCACTCTGCGACTCCGTGACAGCTGGATGTTCGTCTCCCCCCTCTGCGTTTCCGGGGAGCGGAGCTGGGACATGGCGGTGTGGAGTCAGCACTGGACTTAGGAGGACACTTTGGGGAGACGGGTGAGGGGCACCAGCACCTTCCGGGACCTTCTGGGCTCACGTGGGCGCTCTCACAGCCCCTGGCTGGCGGCCTGGTTCTGGCTCTACATCCAGAAAGATGAGGTCCCACCGGGGACCCTCATGTGACGCCTGTTTTTCCAGGGGGCTACAGAGGGCTGCTGCCCTGGGCTTTGGACGGCAGATTACGGAAGCAATGGTCTGTCACCTCTGTCCCCAGAATACACGCCCCCCCCAAGGGCTGCACCCCTTCTGCATCTGCAGACCCCGCCTTTCCCAGAGTCTAGTGCTAGGCAAACAGCTGGTGCTCAGGGAATGTATCCCAGCGAGTAGCCACGTCACAAGCAGAGGCTTTTGTTGAAAAACTACCTTTTCTCACAAACCACCCTTTCTTTTCTGCACCCACGTCTCATCTCTAATTCATGCAACAAGCAATTATTAGGCACCACTGTGTACTGGTTTCATACCAATTTGGCATGACTCAGTCCCGGGCTTGGAGACTCGCGCATATGCTAGGGAAGCCGGACATGTGCTCGACAGTGAGCGTAACCAACACTTAGCAGGCGCCCAGGGCGCGCCACACACCCGGACGCCTCAGAACTGCACGCTGCGATCCCTTTCAGATTACGATGGGGCAGGCTCATGCTGCAGGTCAGTTAATTTCCTTGCACCGGGTTGAAGTGCGCGTGGCCTCGGGGCTGCTCCCCGGAGGTGCAGACGGCGCTGCAGCGCCTGGTGGGGAGCCCTGGGCTCTGAGCTACCTTCCAGAGCCTGTGTCCGGAACCACCGGGCCTGGAGGGCTACCGGGGTGGGAATAAGACGGTCTATTTTTCTAGTTTTTTTGCGGATGCCTCTGATGAGGTGAGATATGTATAGGCAAAAAGGTAGGCAGGAACCCTATGACGCCAGGGACCCGATACAGGCCCGGGGCTGTGTGGGAGGCGCCGGTGAGCACAGGGCGCTCCTCCCCTCCACCAGTGCTAACGCAGCACCGCCGGCCCCCAGTCTGGGCGGGAGAGCACGGGCCATTCGGAAACAAGGACGCTCTGCAGACGTGTAGAGGGGACCCGCCGATTTTAGACATACAGGTGAAGGTTCTCAAACTGCAGCTCCGCGACCCACCCAGAGGTCCTTTCACTGTCCCCTGCCTGCCCGAGAGAAACGACATTCTCTCTCTTCTCTCTCGCATTCTAATGGCACAGGCTCATTTTTTTTTTAAATTGAGGCAGCTTCTTATTCGTTATTTATGATTCCGGTGGTCTTACCTGGCGCTTCAATCAACTGCTTGTAAACACTCAGGAACGCGGCCTCAGCCTCCTGACTTCTCTTACTAAGGGCCACCACCTTTGGAAACAAGAGAGAAAGTCACGTGTCACCACGGCACCGGAGTCTACGAGCAGATCTGGTCAGTGCCCACATGGACAGGCTAGGGGCAGAGAGCAAGTGGAGGCTCAGGCCCGGGCGCCACACCACCCCTCCGCTGCGTGGCTCAAGCACCTCCCTCTTCCTCTCTGATCCTGTTTCCTCATCTGCAAACTGGAGAGAAATGACAAAGCCAGCTGCCTCGGGTTGCTCTGGGGGGCACGAAGCGGCATGTGACGAAGGACTGAGCACAGAAGTGTCCGGTCAGTGCCCGTGGCTGATGGACACGTGGTCACGGCAGAACCCAGTGGGGGGGAGCGGCCCCCGCACACCTGTTCTCTAGCTCACCGTCTCTTGCTTGGCCAGCGAGACTCCAAGCCCTCTCCGGGGCTCAGCACCTCCTCACCCCCACTCCCGACTCCGACGCAGGACGCTGGCTCTTGGCGGCCAGGCCCCTGGGCCCGGCGCACACAGGCCCCCTTTCCTTTCTCCCCGAGGAGCTTCTGGGCGGGACTGACTATTCTCTCTGCGCCCATCCACCGCTTCTGCTGGCCCAACTGCCAAGGACGAACCTGGCAGAACACCGACGGGTCAGTGACTTGTCTTCGGAGCTGGGCTTTAATTACAGGACCCAGTGACCCCCAGTGGGGCAGTGTGTCTGTTTTTGAATTCCTCCCCAGAGTTAAGTTCTGTGAGCACCTTCTCTGGTGCATACACGGTCTCAACATTGTGTGTTGAGCGCCAGGTCCAGTGGGTCGCACTAACTCCGGGTCCCGTGACACCACCCTGCAGAAACGGCGGGGCCTGTCTTGTGTCGCTCATTCACAGGGGCAGACTGAGTAGCAGAGAGAAATCCCAGTTTCACCAGTAAGAGCTGTGTGCTCTTGGGCCAGGTGCTCCCTTCAAGCCTTGACTTCCCCTTCTGCAAAAGGAGACATACATGACAACCTCCCGCAGGAGTTGCTGGGAGATCCGACAGTTTATCACAGGGAGGATTCCTTGCAACACTCGAGACATGCAGCCCGCTGCGAGACAAGTCATCTCTGAGTAGGAAGGACCCTTGCCTCCTTGCCTAGAATTGGGGTTTAGTCCAGGACGGGGTGGTGAACCTCACCCGCGCCCCTCTTTGGTGACCTGAGGAAGTCGCCATGTGCATGGGGGGCAGTCTGAGGTCCGGGGAGTCTGAGGTCAGGGTAGCTGAGAGCGGCGTGTGGCCCCAAGCCCTGGAATCATGTGCACCCCAACCAAAGTGCACCATGAAAGCAACAGACGCATCAGATTTCAAAACTCAGTCCCCAAAAGAGAAAGCCAATAGCTCATCGGCGTGGTGTATATGGATTACATGTTGAAGCAGTAATGTTTTGGATATACTGGGTTGAATAAAATCTATTACTAAAATTCATTTCACCTGCTTTCTTTTACCTGTTACAATGTAGGTACTAGAAAGTGTAAAATTATATCCGTGATCACATGTTATATTACAGCTGGTCAACAGGGCCTGAGGTTTTGACAAGGTCTCTGTTGAATCTGTATCTTTAAGAGCGGGAGAGAGAAATGTATGGTGGGTGCTGGGACTTTACAAAAACAAGTAACAAAAGCTCCTTAAACAGAAAAAAAGCTCACTATTCTGACAACAGTCTCTGGTTTTACCTTCCAGAATGATGGTCACTCGCTCATTAGACAAACACTTCCTGAGCACCTATTATGTGCTCTCACTCTGGACTGAGAACTCTCCCGTGGGGCCCCACGGTGCTCCCAGACTCGCGGGGAGACTCGCACAAAGCAGAGCCCCCAGAGAATTCTTTAATTACAAGTGCTACATGTTTCCAGGGGGCTTCAGGATGTGGAGACTGCAGGGAGGCTGACCTAGTTTGCTAGGTAGAACCTCAGGGGAAGATGGTGGTGGACAAAAAGAATGTTCTAGAATCTAGGCAAAGCGAAAATCACCAAATAGGGGGAGATTTTTAGGCTTGCAGGGATGGACAAGACACAGTTCTTGCTCTGGGGACTGACAGCGGACTGGGTGACACAGCCCTACCGGAGAGAAACCGTAACACAGGAGCAGGTGAAGCAGACATCGGGGCCTCCAGAGTCATGGGAGGAGGGGGGCAGGTAACAAAATTTGGGAGCATCTTGGATGGTCTGATGTTACTACTAACAAACGTACTATCTGGAGTTTACCATGTTCTCACTGCTCTACTCACCATCGTCTCTCCCCACGGACACAGCCACGCTGAAGGCCCTACGGTCCGGACCCCACTGTACGGCCAAGGCATCTCCTGGCTTAGTGACCTGCCCTGCTCGCGCCAGTGATAGTGGCAAAGCAGATCATGCCGGGTCCGTGGGTTCAAGTCACCGTTCTGAATTCAGATGCTGGCTTTTTCCTCTCGGATAGACAGGCCACCGTCCCGGCCACAGGGTGGGTCGGACCCCACGTGCTGTCCCACAGGTCACTATGATTATCCCGGGTCAGGGACTGCGGGGCTAGAGCTAAGAAAAGCCATGAGAAGACAAGCTTTTCGTTTTCTGCTTGTCGGCTAGAGAACACTCACAGTGCAGCCCCCAGTAAGTCTGGCTGCCCCAGCTGGGCTTAGGGGGCCAGGGCCTGGGGAAAGGCTTAGGGCACTCCATTATCTTCTCAGGGAGAGGGCACAGGCCAGAAGAGTCCCTGTATGCTTCTGCAGCCTGCTGATGTCACCCTCTACTTCATGGTGCTCATCAGTGTTTCCTGGTGTGTGATTAAACTGTGTGACTGACCCTTGATGGTGCCTCACCTCCAGGATGGGGCCACCAGCATGGGTGGCCATGGAGGGCTTGAAATGTGACTTCCAAGTTCAGATGGGCTGTAAGACCATAAAATATGGTATTTCTAAGTCTTAAAATGAAAAGAGGAATGTGAACTATCTCGATAATTTTTTAATTGATTACATGTTGTGGGTAGACCGGGTAAAAAATATACACTATTCAAACTAAGTATACTTGCTCCTTTTCACTTTTCAAACATGTAGCCTCAAGAAAACTTTAAATTACACGTGCAGCTGGCCTTATATTTCCACTGAAAGCGCTGGTCTTGTTCAAAGGCTGATCAACTGTGGCCCTTCAGTTTTTTTGTGTAAATAAAACTTTATTGGAACACAGCCAGACACTTTGTTATGTGCTGGCTATAGCTCTTTCATGTTACCAAAGCCAAGTTGCAGAGCTGTGATAAGGCTCTGGTCTCTAAGTTGATAATATTTACTATCTGGTTCTCTACAGAAAATGTCTGCTGACTGCAGTTTTCGAGGTTCATCTAAAGGGAACCTCTAAAGATCAAAAACATCGAGCAATGACACTCAGCTTGTGAGTTCAAGCTCAGAGTTTCCCATAGTAAATAGGGTTCTTGTAGAGAGGTGCCTTTGGATGTCCTGCCTCATTTAATCTTGTCTTAGAGCAGTAACCTGACTCCAGTTTTCGAGGTTCATCTAAAGAGAACCTCTAAAGATCAAAAACATCGGGTAACGACACTCAGCTTGAGAAAGTTCGAGCTCAGGGTTTCCCACAGTAAATAGGGTTCTTGTAGAGAGGTGCCTTTGGATGTCCTGCCTCATTCAATCTTGTTTCAGAGCAGTAACCCCAACTGCTTCTAGAAGGCCAAACTGGATGGCTTCAGGGCCTGACGAGATTGTCCTTCAACTGGGGAGAATACTCGCATCCACTTACAAAGCTTCAGGGGACACATCAGCTGACTTGCAGCAAACTTCCCAAGGAAATTGGTGAAAAGTTGCCTGATAAATCAGCTGATTTTTCTCCTAAGCCCATGGGATGTCTTTTCCAGGGTCTGCAACATACACATTTCACCCATGTGCCCAGAGCAGGTGAGCACAGCATAAATGCAGGCCATGTGTTTCTGCCTCCAGCTGGGCCCCACCACATGGAAGGGCAGGGGAAAGTGTCCAGAACGACAGATTTGGCTTGTGATGGGCAGATCTTTGAAGGCCATCTGGGAAAGGAGGAGGAGGAGGAGGAGGCCAGCCTCAGACACCAAGAAGGTCAGCAGCATAAATAGCTCAGCACCTGACAGCAGCTCAGCAGCCACGCTCCCCACGGAGCTGAGGGGCGATTCCGTTCTGCCCCCGGAGGGAGAGAACAGGTGTGGAGCCTGTTCTAGCCGCCCAGCTCCTGTCTGTCAGGTGGCTGAAAATCACAAACTGCCCTCCCTGTGGCGGGGAGAGCAGCTTGGGCTGAGCTCTTCACAGAGAACAGTGGGAGTTCCCAGAAAGGGCACCCACTCTGAGCTCAGTGCTTTGGAGTCTCCCCCAGGACCACTGTCACGGCTCCCACGTCCCAGGGCGGGGCCAGGGGAGCTGTGCCGCCTGCCTGGGTGACAGACCTGGAGTTGGGTGAGGTTTCATGATGACCCCCCCACCCCCAAAGCCCGGCATGGCCATATGGGGCGGCCGTCACAGGTGTCTCATTGATCGAATGGGAACGGCGTTAAGCCACACCCGATGGGGTGGGCGGCGGGGGTGGCAGGGCCCAGACCTGCAGCCTGCTCTGTGGGTTAGCACCAGGGGCATCAGCACACGGAAGACGCAAACGAGCTCTTCAATGTGGTTTAATCCAACGCCTTTGGCTTCAGAGCTTCCCCCAGAGACCTGGAACCGGGGTCCCACGGAATACACCTTGAGAACAGCTTCCCTCCACCCCTCGGCCCTGGGGTTTGGCCTCTCTTCCCCTGAGGGTCATGTGCAAGACCCTTAGCTTTCGAGGACTATTCGGACCCCCGCCACCTGTAGATGGGGTCACAGTTACCTGGTTGGGATGAGCAGAGAACTGGTACCACTAGTGACCGATGACTGAGTTCTGTCAGGCACTGTGCTAGGAGCACAGCACACTATTAACTCGCACCGCTCGCACCTGGTGGGGAGGTTGCTGCCCATTAAAGAGATGGAGTGGGGCGGGGGGCGCAGAGTGTGAGGTCACACTGTGCGGGACCTGGGACT